GTATACAAGGAATACCTGTTATAATTGCTGAATGTTTGTTCTGAGGTGCTTTTTGAAACATATACTTACTTTCTTTAACCTGTCTCCTTATTTGTTATTGGGGATAACAGTGGTACTTAAACTTGTGGTTTTGTTTAAGGATTAACTGTATCTACAGTACGTAGCACAGTGTTCCCACAGAGTATTGTCAGTTAATAGTATTAGCTATAATCATTAAATGCTTGGTCTATACCTGTTTTTATTCCTCATCTGGACCATTTTTAATGTAACTAATATGTCCTTTTGTATGTTTTATGTTTCTGGCCAGATTGTAAGCAGTTGATGGGAAAAGTATCATGTATTGGAACGTACGGCTCAAAGTGCATCAGCTTTCTTTGATCCCAGTATATGGGGCAAGGTGATTTATTTGGCAGTAATTTTTATTCCCTTTTCTATATTGTAGTTCTGCTGGTGATAGTTACTGGGTTAATCTTCCTACCACAGCCACCAGCATTGTAAAGTGCTCCCTTTATTTATTTGACAGCCTTACTAACACTCAACTGTCTTTGTTTTTTTGATAATAACCATTCTGATAGGTAAGAGATATACAGTATCTCATTATGGATTTAATTTGCATTTCTGTAGTCATTAGCAGTGTTAAACTTTAAACTTTTTTTTTCCACTTATTTTTTGTCTTTTTGTGTTTCCAATTGAAAAATGGCTGGGATTGAGCCTTTGCACTGAACTGCATTCCCAACCCTTTAAAATATTTTAAAATTATTTTGATATAGAATCTTACTAGATTGCCTATTTGGTTCAAAGTTGATTCTTCTGTCTCAGCCTCTTGGAGTGCTGGAAGTACTGCTACCTGGGTTGATTTTTGTATATGGTGTAAGATTGGGGCCCAGGTTCATTCTTGTGCATAGGTTTGGAAGTAAATCTTTTTTTTTTTTCTTTCTGGTTTTTTGAGATACACCAGTGTTCCTGGGTGGATAAGTCTTTAAAAGATTTTGGTAAATGAATACTTCAGGGTGTAGATAGTTAGCAAGCAAATTGTGTGAGGTTTTTTTAAAAACTATTTTATCTTTATTATGTTATTTCTGTTTTCATCTCAAGGTAATTATATGACCCAAAATCATAGGATGAGAGTAAGAATTTATGAAACACAGTTGCACCTGTGTTTTATATGTAGTTTTTGCCGGAAATGAAAAAAACTGCTAAGTCTGGGGAAGTTTACTTTTGAGGAAAATGAGTCTTCTGAGATAATGACATTTGCCTTATTGATAGCCAAGTGATTGAGTGTCCAGAATCGTATTGTTCATTTTCTGGCAGTGAGGGCAAATGATATTTGTGGCTTTAAGTTACAATGTTTGTTACCCATACTCTTTTTTTTTTAATAGTATAAATACTAAAGATTAAACCCCAATGTAGCTTTTCACTGAGCTACATTCCAAGCTCTTTTTAAAAAGTTTTTTTTTTTTTTAAATTTTGAGACAGGGATTGCTAAATCAATAAATTGCCCCTGCTGAGTTTGAACTTGCAGTCTTCCTGCCTCAGTTTGGATTCCAGGCTTGGGTCACCATACACAACAGCACCCTTGCTTTATTGGACTCTTTACTTTGAAGTTTTTTTTTTTTTTTTTTTTGATTAAGGGAATTTTGCGTCTATTCTTTACAGATTTATCTGGCATTACGTGTTTTAAATATAGTCAGTTTTAAAGCCATGTGACTGCAGTGGGTTCTTTGGAATGCTGTTATCTGGGTAACAAATGAAAGTAGTTCTATCAGAAATGTAAACTATAAGCCACGTAGAATTATAGAAATGCCTTTACTTTAAAGTAAACCCAGAGCATTGGCACTGAGTCTTTTCATTTAATATTGAATCCATTAAGTTAAACAATTTGATTGATTTCATGTTCTATATATGCTTCCCTTTTTAAATATTTTAAAAGATTTTTTAAAATTCTCTAATTTAAGAACCAGTTTTTCAGTTGAATCTTTTTATTTTTTTTATTTTTATTTTTATTTTTTAATTTTATTTAAGGAGAAAAGAAAAGAAAGAAAAAAAACAGTGAAGGGGTACAAGTTATACAGATTTACAGGAGAAAAAAATGCGCAGTAGGAAATCACTAGTTAATGGATTACATATTGCCATCTTAGAAATAATTGTTCAAGTCACAAAATTAAAGCTTGTAGAGTGGACATTCCAACAATGATACTGCAAACAGTTCTGTTCAATGATCCAATAAAACTCTGTGATATCATTTTCTATCTTATACATTTAAATATACATGCAGTTATATAGTTTAGAGCACTTTCTTTTCCTCTCTTTTGTACAATGACTATTACACATTTTGGGTTTCATTGCTCCCACGGTTCTTATTGCTTTTTCAGTTGAATCTTGAGGCTATTTTGTTTAAATTGTGTCCTATTTACTGAGTAATAACTTCTGTCCAACCTCATAGCTAGCTCAATTATATTTCAGTTTTTACTTGTAATTTCTTAGTTTTCGATATAGTAGTTGTTTTTGTGAAGATTCTTGGATCATTCATGGTTAAAAATTGGAGTTTATGCATTAAAGTATACATTTATTGAGTAAATAGGGTTGTCCTTTTTTTGGTGCTAGATAGCGAAGTGAAGTCTGTGTACATGAGCCCACTCTCTGTCACTGAGGTATGCTCCCAGCAAGTCAAGATGGTGTTTATATAATGTCACTTGCTTTTGTATTGTGCAATAGTTTTTTTAAAAAGTTGTTTGAAGTATGAATAATTTATATTCAACAAGGTGTCATTTTTTGTCATCTTACAGTAACATCTGCATACTCATGTTTACAGCAAAACAATTCATAACAGCTAAATCTTGAAAGTATCCAACGTGTCCATCGACAAATAAATGAGTGAAGAAAATGTGGCATTTATACACAACGGAGTACCACTCTGCTATATGAAAAATAAGTCAGTCATAGGAAAATGGCGCACCTTAAGATCATGTTGTTAAGTAAAATAAATCAGGCTCACAAGCTTAAATATTACTTGGTTTCTCTTATATGAAAAATCTAAAGCATAAATAGCAAAATAAAAGATAATAGAAAATAGGGAAAGAGATCTTAAAGTTTTCTTTTCTTTTCTTTTTTTATCAGTACCGGGGATTGAACTCACGACCACCTGCTTGCAAGGCAGGTGCTTGTGCTGCTGAGCTAAATCCCCAGCCCCTTATTTTCTTTTAAAATCAGGTGAACAGGTATTTCTTACTGAACTCACTGATTTAAAATGTTTGAGATGTTTTTTCTTTCTTTCCTTTTTTTTTTGAGATAGATTTTCATTACATAGTTTAGGCTGGCCTTGAACTCACTATGTAGCATAGGCTGGCCTCAAATTTGCAGCAGTCCTTCTACCTCAGTCTTCCAAGTCCTGGGATTATAGGCATCACCACCATCTCAGCTAATGTTTGAGTTTTTAAAACATCTTTATTGAGGTATACTTCATATTCTATAAAATCTGTATATTTTGCTGAAATGGTTTTAGTGAGTTTAGATCATTGTGCAGCCATCACTGAAATCTAATTTTGTAACACTCCTTTCACATGGAAAAAACCCACTGTCCTTTGTAACGAATCTTTGCTACCAACCTCATCCCCAGGAACCCACCAAACTGCTTTCTGTGCAGGCATTAATTTTGCCTTGTCTAGAAATTTCATATAACTGGAATCATATAATACATGCTTCTGTGTCAGTTAGTTTTTAATTGCTCAATAGTATCCCATGTTTTGTTTATCTGCTTACCAGTTGGAAGGCAGTTATGTTGACCACCATACCAAACCAATGCATATTCTACTTACCTGCTGAAGGATGGTCTGCCAGTTTTAAGCTATTACTGGTAATGGTACTATGCACATTCCTTATAGAGCTCATTTGTGAAAATAAAGATATACTTTTATTTCTTGTGTGTGGAATTACTGGATAGTATGGTAACTATTTAATTTTTTAAAAAACTGCCAAACAGGCCCTACCATTTTACATTCTTTCTAGTATTTTATGAGGGTTCCAGTTTCTCTGTGTCCTTTACAGTGCTAAATATTGTCATTTTAAAAACTTTTACCCATTTTATTTTTCGTGGTATTTGATTACATCTTACTTTTTTCTGAGACAGAGTCTCACTGTGTATTGTAGTTCAGATAGGGCTTGAACTCACCACAGTCTTCCTTGGGCTCCCAAATGCTGAGATTGCAAGCATGTGCCACCATGCCTACTTTCTCATTGTGTTTTGAAAATAGCTTTATTGATAAAATTCACATACTATACCACTCACTCTTTTCAGTTGGACAGTTTAGTGGCTTTTAGTATATTCAGAGTTATGCAGTCATCAAAGTTAATTTTCTTCACCCCCCCCCAAAGAAACATCTTAACCATAATTTTGTGCCCATTGGCTCTAAAATGCCACTTTATAGATTTGCCTTTTCTGGGTATTTCATAAATGGAATCATATAGTAAGTATGTGGTTCTTTGTGACTGGCTTATTTAATTTCTCTTTTCAAGGATCTTCTCCATTGTTTTATTTCTGTATACCTACCTGTTTTATATATGAACATAAATCTTTTTATTTATCCATTTGCCAGTAGTGGAGATTTGGACTTTATTCTCCACTTTTTGCCTGTTATAAATAATGCTGTTATGGATGTTTTTTCATGTGTGTGTAAATGTTTTCATTTTTCTTGGTGTGTTTTTAGATGTGGAATCACAGGGACGTAAGAGTTTTTGTTTAGCCTTTTGGGGAGTTACCACACTGTTTTCAATGTGACTACCGTTTTACACATCCAGTGGCACTAATACACAACAACACTGATTTTTCATTGATGTCCATTAAAGATTGGGGTGGCGGTGGTGGATTTTTACTTTATACCAACCCTAGATACCTGAAAACAAATTTAGATAGCACACTGAGTTAATCTTTGTCTCTTTCCCACCTCCCTGAAAGACACTTCAGACTTATACATGACTAATCATCTTGTTTTTCTGTTTTACAGAGTAAGAAAGTTAGCCTGAGTTTTGTGAAAAACCGAAAAGACAAGGTTTTTCCAGTTTGCATAATGTAAGTTCTTTTCACTGTTCTTGGCCACAATCCTGTGTTCGCTGACAAAGCTGTTTCTATGGAAACAAATAGTCCAGCCTCTTAGAATGTCAGAGGAATGCTGATCCCTTAAAATGAGACTTCCCAGCTGCTGGTCAAAGGGCATTCCTTGCTGAAGAAGGGGAAGAAGGATGAATGAAAAGAAATTTTAAGGTTCTGGACACTAGTGTAAACTGAGAATATGTTTATGCATATGAAGCATATTTTTTTAATCTCTGTGTAAAAATTAAAATACTACTTATTTTCCTTCTAACCTGTATTTTCCTGCAAACCTGTCATGCTTCTCACCTGTTACACAAATGATTCTGTTTCTTAGTACAGTGTTTTAGTGGTTCTCTACCTGTTAGGCTGTTTTAGTCCTCTCATCTCAATCATTTGCACTTGAAGCTCACTCAACTTTCTTTTATTCCCTCTCTTAACCAGTTCATGGAAGCATATCCCTTTCTCCCCCACTAGTTAGAAGTTAGCGGCAAAATAGCTTTGGCCTACCAACCAGGAAGTTTATTTTCTTGCTTTGTGGACTATGTGAAGTTTTTGTTGTTGTTGTTTGGAGGGAGCAGAATTAGAGATTCTGATGAGGATTGGAAATATAACCTTGGAGTCTTTGTCTTTTTTTTTTTTTTTTTTTTTTTTTTTTTTTTTAAATTTTAAACTTATGATTGAAGGTTAGGAAGAGAGGAATTAGGCCAAAAACTTGTAAACTCCATTTTCTTCAGCCTATTGTTTGCCTCAAATAGAGGCAATTGACCAGTTTAGTCATTTACTTCTGAATTGTCAAAGGATTTGGGTCATTGTATTTTGTTTTTTAAATTCTTTGGATTGGGATTCTTTTACCATTTATTGATATGTATTGATTTTATATATATGAGTTAGGCTATTCATGGCTTGCCTGCTGAAAAGTTATGATCTTGCTAGACATGCTGGTGCACACATGTAGTCCCAGCACTCGAGTGGTTGAGGCAAAAGGATTGCATCAAGTTCAAGGTCAGCCTGGGCTATGTAGTGAGACCCCGTCTCAAAAGAAAAAACAATTCTTTTGGGTAGTAGAGTTCAAACACAGGGTTACTGTGCCACTGAGCTACATTCATAGGCTTTTTTATTTTGATACAGTCTTGATAAATTGCCCAAGCCAGTCTGCATTTATAATTCTCTTGCTTTACCACTCTCATTGCTGGGGTTATAAGTATACACCACAGTACTGCACTAAAAAGTAAAATGACCTTAATACTAAAACTGTGGTACACAGCATAATGTTCTTTTGTACTTGAGAATCTTTCATGGCCCTCATGAATTAATTTATGAGCACGATAGTCTTTTGGATTGTTCTGTGTGATGAACTTATTTAACTAAGAAGATCTGAAAGATTTCTTGAAGAAATTCAGGATTTGAGATAGATCTTAAAGATAGGAAGGTGAAAGGAGATGCAGGTTATAAGGCATTTGGCGTGAAGGGAAAAAAATATGGGGTAGGCACAAATGAGGCTAGATTAAAAGGCTTACGAAGGATAGTATAAAAAACACGGAAAGCTTAGATTGATCTTGTAGTTCATACTTTATTTTCTAAGTAGTAGGAAAACCATCAGAAATTCTAAACAGAAGAATGATTTGCTCGTACACTTAATCATCTATTCCTTACAAGGTATCATGGCTAATATGAATAAGCTCACCGCCAACTAGATTTTTACCTCTGTGATCTATAGTCACCTTGAAATTGATGCATTGAGAACAAAACATACATTTCCCTTTAATTTCTCTTTCCTCTGTCTGATTCTCCTCCTGTATTCTCCACTGTATTCAGTAACATTGTCACCTACCTAGTGACCCAAAGATAGTGATTAAGAGTAGTTACCCTGAAATCACACTGTCTAGGTTCATATTTTGAAGCCTTGTTTTCTTGGTTCTGTGCTTGTTGGTGTCATGAATCCAGAGATGAATCAGCCTGAATCTTGACCGGAAAGAACTTCTAGTCTGATAACGTGGAAAGATGAAGATAGTTCTAGTCTGTCTTAATCAAAAAATGATAAGGATCGTTAGATTCCATGGGAGAATGTTTTTGAGCTAATATATTAAAGCAAAAACTAGATTATAGGTAGTCTGATTCAAGAGGCTGTTTTCTTCAACATTATGTTGTCTTGATTAACTGGATGGGCATAGTCGCAGAGTTGGAAATGGAAGGAGAGACTGCAGAGAGTAAGAGCAGACTAAAGGGAAATAGGACTTTAACTTCTCGATCCCTGTTGGAAATTTTGGGAGATAGAGAAATAGGTAGGGATCCCAGTAACCCCAGTGCTCAGCCAAAAGTATGTATGTGTAACTAAATTTATGTAAAATTTACTCCTCTCCTAAGCTTTTATTCTTTTCTTACTGTCTTCAGGTTTAAGGGTATGTATGTATGTATGTATGTATTCATTTTCAGACAGGATCTTGCTATCTAGTTCATACTGGGCTTGAATCCCAGGTTGCCTCATCTTTATGGTGATCCTCCTGCATCAGGCTCCAGATTGCTGGGATTATAATTGTGTGCCACCACACCCAGCAGGATTAAGGATTTATATTTAAAACCTTTCATAAACTGGACCCAGTCATACTTTTTAGTCATATCTTTCATCATCTACTTTCTTGTTTCAGTCAAATTCCCGCATTTGTGCTTACCCCCTATTTTTTTAATCTTCCTGCCCTTGGTTTATATAGCTTTATTATTCCTCCATCTTGCCTTTAAGGCCTACTTCAATTCCCATTCTGGGCATATTTGAGTTACTTCTAGAGCTGCCTTGAGGTTAAAATGAGTGAATACTGTGTGAAGTGTTCATAATACAGTACTTGCCCCTTAGCATTGGGGGATACATTCTTTTTTTTTTTTTTTCTTTTTCTTTTTTATCGGTACCAGGGATTGAACTCACAACCGCCTGCTTACAAGGCAGGTGCTTATGCCGCTGAGCTAAATCCCCAGCCCTGGGGGATACATTCTAAACCCTACCCCAATGATGCCTGAAACTGAGGATATACTGAAATATAGACATAAATATAAACAAATAAATATACATATGTTTATATATGTGTATATAGGTATATCTGTATATGTATGTATATAGAAACCCCCGTGGAGGGTATCAGTCTCCTACCCTGCAGTATGGCACATGATGAAAAGAAAGGGAAAAAAATCTGCAATTTAAGGGGCTCTGGATGCCCCAGTGTTCTTAGATGAACAAAGGGCAAAGAGTCAGAGCAGTCATGGCTTTTATTGGTATCAATCAGGGAGGTGGGTAGGGATCACGGCAGAGTGTAAGGAAAGAAACTTTGCAGGCATGGTTGTAAGGAGAAACAGCACCCTTGCATCAGGCACAGAGGCCCTCCAATTAGTTGTGCAAAGATAGCCTGATGTATGTAAGGGTGGCATCTTTACTGCCAGGAAGGTACAATTCTTCTGGGTCCCATGGCTTCAGCTGAGATGTTATCTCATGTCTTAGCCATGGAATCACCCTAAGGCTCTTGCTTAAGCCTCCATTTCAGCCATCAGTGGGTGGGGGGCAGTTCTCACCTCAGTAGGACTTGGTCACATTCTTTTGTCTGGTTTATGGAACATGTGCTTCTATATAGCCAGCTCTGGATATCTCATGTAAATAGGATTGAAGTAAAATTCAGATAAAGATAGAGGCAAGGAGCTTCATTTCTCAGGGGAATGCGGTTTGGAGGTCTCCCATCTCTCTGTCTGTCTCTATCTCTACCTGGTTTTCTTCTGTGTACATGCTAGTGACTAATGGGTAAACAGCATTACTTTAAAAGACATTGCCATGAATCCCCCTCAAAATACTTTCCCTTTCGTAAAACACACTTATCTCATTATTCTACATTCTGAAGCAGTGGTAGAAGTTCTGTTTCATGAGTGTCTTTACAAAGTGTGATTAAAAAATTAACAGTGAATGCTATTGCCATGTACTATCCAAGGTAAGGCAGACTTATTAAACCCTTATGATGTGTCCTCACCCACCATATTTGTCAGAGGAACTTTGGACTTGTGACTATTCTTTAAAGTGAAAATGACCATGAAAGGTAAATCTTTTGAATCTATCAGGACATCAAAGTGACTATAAAAGCACAATGAAAGACATCAGAGGACTTCCCAGAACTGCTTCAGGATGTAGAAAGTATGCATAACTACTTGAAGCAAGAGACAGTATTTTGAGTAGGATTAATCTGTCTTTTACTGTTACATTTTTAAACCTTTAAACATTCACCATTATTTTTGATCTTGTCACGATGAAGTGCTCAGAAAATGTTAGCTGTAGGTAGTTGCTACTACTACCCCTTTGCCTCCTTTGCTAATTTTCCCCTTCTGTTTTTGCCCTATTGTGTGAAGTAGACACCAAGTTCCACCATTTCTATAACTTATTTATAATTTTGCTCCTTCTGTTTTAGTTCAGAATCTCATTTGTTACAGGTACTTCAAATTGATTTTATCGCCATGCTTCAGTTAGTCCTGTATATGAAAGTGACAATTTCTTTTTTTTTTTTTGGTCTTTTTCATTTTTATCGGTACCAGGGATCGAACTCACGACCGCCTGCTAGCAAGGCAGGTACTTATGCCGCTGAGCTAAATCCCTAGCCCCGAAAGTGACAATTTCTAAAAAACCACATGCAATTGTATCATCTCTTGCTTAAAATCCTTTAATGGTTCTTCATTTTCAGGGTCGAGAGCTTTAGCTCTAAAATTCTTGACAGTGTTTCCTTTCACTCTTTACCACAGACTAAATTTTAGTCCTGTTTATGCTCTGTGAATTTTGTGACATTCCTAGTTTAGTTGAACAAATATTTCTTGGACATTTCCTGTAAAACATACATTATACTAAACACTGGTGATTTAGAAATAAGACACGAACTCTAACAAATTTGGAATCTGGGGTAGTGAGAAGAGACCAACTGGAGAAGTCATTTATTTTCTTCACTATATACTAGTAGACCGTGAACTCTCCAGGGGAGATAAAAATGAAATTTTAGCAGATTAATACCAGACCAAAGAAATTTTTCTGAAAATAAAACACTAGGTCCAGATAAGCATGATGGTAATAGTCCAACTGTGAGAATTTAAGGGGTGGGGGATGTTGTTTTTTGTTTTTCCCTAAGTCCTGGAACTCAAGGTATGACCTACCATGAGAATTATGACCAAGATCATTCAAACATGATCTATAATTTTCTGTTACATGATCATAATTTTCCATCATGATTTAGTGTAGTATGTATTTGGTTTTGAGTGTTTTACAACTGATTTTTAATTTTAGATTGTAGTTTACATAAAAATATATAATCCATTACTGTTTGATTTTTAATATCCAGTAATTATAAACAGTGAAAATTGAGAGTTAATTTTCTGGAAATATGTATACTCCTAGATTTTTAAAATTGAAGTTAAGATTAGCACTGCAATAACTCCTACACAAATTTCTGCTTACTTGTAGTAAAAACATTAAATTAGCTGAATTTGCACTTGTGTATAATCAACATATAAACCTTAAGAATTGCCCGAAATCAATGTATGGCTGTCATTTTAATGAAAAATTAATGGTAAATAAGATAGTATAGATTACATAGTTGTTAATAATGAAGCTAAAATTTTGATGGGAGATAATCTACTCTAATTATTATGAGACTGTAATTTTAGTGTTTTCCTGATTGTTGGCCTTAGTGATTTTTCCTAGTTGCCTAGGTTAATAAATTAAACACTTTATTTTCTGTTCTTATTATTACCATGGCCTGACATATGTGAAAGAAGATTGACTGGTATTAGGAATACTGCTTAAAAACCTGGTTTTTGCTTAGTTAGCATTGTGCTCTAACCAAGCTTACTTACTGAAATGAAACTCAGTTCAAGGAGGTAGTAGGTGTATTATTGTAAATATTTTTAAAGCCTTGAACTTAAGAAGATTAATTAGATTTCATGTGTGGGTTTATGCACGTATAAACAATCTGCCCATTTATGCCTGAGAAATGGCTTGATGAAAATCCAATATTATTCAATAAAACATTTTTGTGTCAAATGTGCTGGAAGATTTTAAAATAGAATCAAGTTATTTCTTCATTTTTTTAACTTGTTTACCTTGTCTTATAATTTAGGGTAATCCTATGAATAAATAGTGAGTATATTTGAGGTTCAGAGAGAGAAACTTAAATTATGAAGCTCCAAGATAGTGATGGTGAACCTTTTGGAGCTTTCAATGGTACAGCCAGCCTACTGCGGCACGGGTACTATAGGCTCGCCACCACTGCTCTAGGCAAAGTGGTAGTGTCAAAATGAAAATTCAATTTTCTAGTCTCTAAATCCAGTGTTACTTTTGCTATATAGCAGACTTTTAAAAAATTTTAAGTGGTACTGAGCACTACCATTTTTCTCTAAATGTGAATCCTCATAAAAGAAGAATTACTCAATTTTTTATAAATGTAATCAATTATGAAGACATTGATTGCTTCCTTTGCTTTTTTCTCATTCAGTATGGTTTTATCTTTAGATAACTTTGCAGCTAATCTTAAGTTTCTTCTTTAGGCATTTCTTTATCACAACACCCTTCCACCCTGAGTTAATTTTCCCAGAGAACTGTCTGTGGTTTGAGCAACCAGTATGGCTTGCTATATGTCAAAATGCCATTTATTGCTTTTTAGCAATTAATTCATTAGTCCCATGTGTATTAGTTGAGTATGAAATATTATGTTGGTGTAACTTTAAAAAGATACTTTTTTGTATTTCTTTAAAATTTTTTTTTATTTTAAACACCGTTTAAACTTTTAAGTGATTTTACTCTTCACAAAATTAGTAGCCAGAATTTTTTACTTTTCCACTTTGCTAAACTTCCCACTGTATTATTTTTTTTAACTATAGAATTAAATATTATGCTTCAGATTCTTGGGCAATGACTTCTTTTGGAAACACCTTGATTCCCTCAGGATTATCTATAAAATGAAAAGAATGTTCAATCTAAATAGAAAAATATTACTGTATATTTATTAGATATTTTCTGTGTTGTGTTGAGATTGGAAGTGGGCTATGTAAAGTCTACTTTTATACTGTTAATTCTTACATTTTTTTCCCCTATCTTTCCCCTTAGATTTCCCTCGTGGATATTTTTCATAGCATTATTATGTGATGTGAGAAGGTTTTTTTTTTTTTTTTTCTTTTTGAAGTAAACATGGATTTTATACTACAGAATCAAGAAAATTGGCATTATACGAAAAATTGATTTTAAAAAGTGGTACAGGTTTTTATAGATAACCATGACAACATCCTATATGAATGGGCATGTTACAGAGGAATCAGACAGCGAAGTAAAAAATGTTGATCTTGCATCACCAGAGGAACCTCGGAAGCACCGAGAGATGGCTGTCGACTGCCCTGGAGATTTGGGCACCAGGATGATGCCAGTACGACGAAGTGCACAGTTGGAGCGCATTCGTCAGCAACAGGAGGACATGAGACGTAGGCGAGAGGAGGAGGGGAAAAAGCAAGAACTGGACCTTAATTCTTCCATGAGACTTAAGAAACTAGCCCAAATTCCTCCAAAGACTGGAATAGATAATCCCATATTTGATACAGAAGAAGGCATTGTCTTAGAAAGTCCTCATTATGCTGTGAAAATATTAGGTAAGTAAAAATAGCGGAATAATAAAATGTTTTTGTATTATGTATGCTTTAATATAAAACAAATCTGTGGGAAGGAATAGGGGCTTAAGAATGTAAGTAATAGTAATTTGGATTATTTTCTTGGAAAAGCCCTAACATGATCATTCTTTAGCTACATAAGAGCAAAAATGCGTAACTTAAATGTTTCAACCTGTTTTTAGGTACAAAAGTTTTACCTGTGGGTTAACATTTAAAGTTTTGATTCTTTTTTTATGTCACTCATAAACTTTTATGTCAGATGTTGAAAAGCAGTTTTCATATTTCGAGTTTCCCTAGTGTGTAAAGTAGTAGTGAAATTAATAACTGCAGCTTAAAATCTATTTTATATCCTTGATAACTGTCAGTAACATAAACAGATGGTATTCATATGGAATCCTACATATAAAATATGGCTGAAAATTCCATACACTATCCAAGCTGTTAAAAATATTTAAAGTAGTCATGTAAGTTTTATTTATTTTTTGTATGAAAGAGATCTGTGACCAGATAACTTCACTGGTGAATAAGTTAAACAACTCCTCACTACAGGGCTTCTTTAATCCGTTATGTTACTAGGCAGTTTGAATCTAATGAGATTGATCGATGTGGAATACATGTACCCATACTTAGAGTATTTGAGCCTTGAGTTTTCTGCACGTGCTAGTATTCCCTGCATGAATGTTAGAAGAATATAGAAGTCAGTTTAAGAAATGATGAATTTGTGCTGTCCTTAAAACTAGACTAACTCAAGTGAAGTGTTTTTAATTTTTAAATGATATAATGGGTTTTTTTAAGATGTGAAAAAAGAGATACTTGCACTTTTTTACAAGAGTTTTTGTTGTCATTGTTATTTGGCTATTCACTTGTCTCTGTTGAACCCTGTACTGGGTACTTTAACAAATACTAGTCTCTGTAGTAATACTCAAAATAATCCTGTGAGCTAGAACTATTTGGGAGATAAAGAAGTTAAACTTCCCTTTCCTTTCCTCCCCTCCCTCCCCTCCCCTTCTCTTGGAATGGAAACTCAGGATTTCACACATACTAGGCAAGTGCCGTACCACTGAGTGATATCCCAGGCACTGCTCTTTCTTAAAGGACAGCTGTATTTCTTACACTTTGTAATCCCCAGTGGTTCTCATAAATACTTTCGTTTTGTCTTTGAACTCAAGGCTTTTTTACGTATTTTAAGGTAATTTGAAACATGGTACTAAGTATTTGTAATTCTTTATTGGAGAGAAGATTTAATATTTTGAGAAATGATAGATTTAATGCAAATGCCTGTGAATTATAAAAAATACAAAAAACTAGCACAAGTTGTAGATTGTCAGTTGTAGACCCAGTTTTTAGATATATTCAGTGTTGTTTTCATTTAAAATTAAATGTAGTAGCTTTTTACTTTTTTTTTCCTTATAATCTGCTAACACATCAGAGCACAACAGAAGTACTCCCTTAAAATTGTATGCGCCTCCTTGCCAGTATTTGATTAATACACACTTGACCGGGGACAACGTCTTAGTCTTTTTTACAGCCAGAAACAGCAACTTTATTTTAAATGAGGGAAGGATGGGACGACTGATTTATTTCTTGGAGAGGTAGTCTTCGGTTTTCAAATAATACATCATTTATCTGTGAGTAAATAGAGTATTATAAGAATTTTGAATGTCATTGTAAAGATTACTTTATCTGAGTGGTTTTTAAAAATTAAAAGTATTTATAAGTGTGGCAGTGTATGATAATAAAAGTACAGGGATAGAATTGACAGAAAATACTCAGAAGTAACTAAGTTTTGTTTAAAAGCCATTATAATGTAAAAATTTAAAAATAGTGACTTGAGAATTTAATTTCAAATAAATGATTAATGCTAACATTATAAATTATAAACATTGTAATACACTAAGGAGGCGTCCTTAAAATTGGTGTAAGATTTAAATCCTGCTTTGTTCTAAAGTATCTTTGTTCTCTTTCATATCAAAGCAAACTGCCTTATAAGAGAAATTCTGAGGAAAGAACAATGTAGGTTGTAGTGGGATAAGATAGAATAGGGCAATTTTCAAATATTTCTGGTTATAGATTTAACTGTTTTTGTTTTTGTGTTTACAGATAAGTAATTTGGGGCCAACGATGTATACAAATATAGTAGTCAGTTTTTAAAGGGAATAAGCCAGTCATCTATCATATATGTGACTAGGTAATTGTTACACCTTTGAAGAAACATTAGGATGGGGTACATATACTCATGGAGTGAACTGTTTTGTGGTTAATAAGATGACCTGAAATTTGTAGTTAGGAGCTTTCTTACTTGTACCAGATACTTTAGTATAAAGAAAATAAAAAGACACAGGAGAAAGAAACTAGGGTGAATAATTCAAAAGAATGAAATATTTTCATAATATAAATAATAGCATGTTTCAGTCTTGACTGTTTGTACATTTTTTGCCAAATGTCTCTAAATATATACACTGTTAAATAAGAGTATTGACATTGTACTTTATTTTAAAGTAAAACATCTCTTCAGAATTTCTTTCTGCTGCTGACTTTTTTTTTGTCTTTTTCTTTTTATCGGTACCGGGGATCGAACTCGCGACTGCCTGCTTGCAAGGCAGGCACTTATGCCGCTGAGCTAAACCCCCAGCCCCCAATGCTGCTGACTTTTGTGTGACCATGGGATATACTGTGATTTGTCTGATTGTGATAAAATTAAAGTGAGCAAGCAAAATTTCAAGGCCATTAAATCTTGAGTTTTATATTAGCTTACTTCTTAGAAGTTAATGATTTTCACTACCAAATTTTTACTTAACTGCTATAATACTTACAAGCAAACTTTCTTAGCCATTTCTTCAGGGACTTTTTTTCCTGTAAGTGAAATGATTAGATTATTGGTGTTAGGTTTAGCATTTAAAGTGTTCAGACCATTTGAGAACTTTCTGGTTTGGCCACATTACTAAAATTATAGCTAACCTAAAGGGTAGATTGAAAAATTTATTGAAAATATATTTGTAGTCATGTAAATTTTGGTTATTAAATACACATTTGTTTACTAAAAATAATTAGCTGCTACATTGTTCTGTTTTTGCCACAGTGTATCAGAATACACTGTATCAGACTTAATTTCACTTATTAGATAATAATTTTTAGATTTGCTTATTTATGGCATGTTAAAATGCTTGACATAGTTGCATATTGAAAATTGTAGGGTTGTCAGGATCAAAACTGAGTTCTAGTACTTCTTATTGTCACTTAATTGCTGTTGGCTTTAGGCAAGTTACTTTTTCTGAACCTTAGTTTTGGGATTATTTTGACAATCAAATTTAAAAATGTAGGTTTGAAAAAATTTTATTGATTGATTGATTGTGGTTTTGGGGAATGAATTCAGGCCTCATAAATGCTAAGCAAGTATTCTATCACTGAGTTACAGCCCTAGAACTAAAAATAGATTTTTATAAGAACCAGAAGGTATCTAAGAGCATCTAATGAGCTAGTGGGTATGCTTTTGTGACTAGCTTCTTTTCACTTAGCATTATGCTTCAGGGGTTCATCCATTATGATGTATCAGTGCTTTATCCCTATTTATAGCTGAGCGATCTAGTGTGTGAATATGTCATATTCTCTGTTGAACCATTTGCGTTATTCCTTTCTTTTGGCGTTGTAAAATATTGATATGAGGAACATTTGTGTTCAGGCATTTGTTTGAATATGTTTTCTGTTGTTGTTGTTTTTTGTTTGGTTTGGTTTGGTTTGGTTTTGGTTTTGGATTTTTTTGGTACCAGGAATCAAACTCAGTATCTCAGGCTCCCCAGGCAGGCGCCATGCCGCTGAGCCAAATTCTCTGACCTTCAGTTCTTTTTTAATCTGTACCTAGGAGTGCAATTCTTGGGTCTTCTATAATTTTATGTTTCATATATTAAAGAACTGCCATAGTCTTTTCCATGGTGACTCTGCTGCCCAACGTTGACACCATGTGTGAAGGTTCTAGTTTCTCTGTGTGCATGCCACTACTGTCTTTTTAATTTTAGCCTTTCTGTTAACCAGTAATATTTTATAAACAGACTACTACAGAAAATATTAATGTATTGCACAGGTATAAATATTGTGTTAAGGAATAAAGTATATATTTTTAATATATATGTTTATATGTTAAAGTATATATTTTTAATAATATGTTAGTCAAATCCCTGTAATTAATAGAAAGTGGCAAAGACTTTAGGTGGGTTATCTAGCGATATAATATGACTTTTAAAATGTGATCAAGCCACTGCTAAGACTCAAGCATTTTAACTTCAGATTTGGAACTTTTTTTATTGTCTTTCACCAGGTGTCTTTCAGTTTTGTTTAGGAAAAAAATCATGAAGCCGATAAGAAGTAACTTCAAGACAATTTTCTTTTGTCTTACTACATGTAGGAGTAAGATTTTTACTTCATTGTGTCTCAACTACTGTCATTCATATGCTTACAGAGTTTGAAGTTTTTTGGGGGTGGATTGGTTTTATTTTTATTGTGCTAGGAACCTGTCCCAGACTGCCTTGCACATATTGGGCAAGTGCTGTATCATTGAGCTAAAAGCACCAGCACTAATACCTGTTTTTAATTCATTAACCACTAATTAACACTTAGGATCTTTCATGAGTTTCTGGTTACTTTTGACAAATTCGTGTTGACATAGACTACTAAAAACTAGATTTGAACTGTATGTTCTTCAGCTTACAAAAGAATTAGACCAGTGGTGGAGCACTAGTTTAGAGTGACAGGCATGTTTGCATGCACATGTGCGTGTGCACACACACACAAACACACACACACATATGCTGGGCAGGGGTTGTGGAAAAGGAGACTATTCTTTATTTAAAGAAAGAAGTCTTGATGCTGAAGTAGAAGACTAGAGAAACTTCTCTTGTGGCATAAATTAGAGCAGTAACTACAAATAAAGCTAATTCAGAGTAGATGGCTGATGCTTTGAAACATCTCCAGTGTTGGAGATTTTTTAG